CGCAAATGAGTGCGTCGGAGCATCACTGCATGGCACCGACGACGTTGGCAAGCATGGCAAGCTCCACTCCCAGCAGGAGTGGCATCCACCGAAGGACCGGAGGTTATCAAGAATCAGTCCGGGCGTAGCATGCGCCCACATCTCCATGCCAGTCGGAGAACCACTGTGTCGCATCGACGACGGCGCGGAATGCCGCGACATCTCCGTGATGGTCGGAGCACCACTGCATGGCGTCGGCGACATGCTGTCAGCTTCGAACAACTGCCCAAGGTAATGAGGTACGTTGCGGTAGGGAACTTAACATTGGCATAGCACGAGCACCGTGATGCACCGTGTATGCACATGTCTTGATCAACATGCTGAGCATTTGAGCCGTAGCCAGGGGTGTATAGGGTTTAGGGCGACAGCTTATTTTCACGACCCGCCCTGACCAAGGCATGTCGCTTCTGTTTCCGTACATGTTGTTCAACTTTCCTTTGGCGAAGCGTTTCCCACTCACGCCTTACCTTCGGCAGCATCTACGTCGCAATTGGCAGAACCATCCCCTTTCCCTTTTTTGGCTCGCGAGTCTCTGCGTCTCAGAGCTGAAGGCAGATTCGCGAAACAGAACGGAATAAACGGACCTGGATGCACCAGCCATGAAGGCAACCGGCATCCTGTGCCTGCATCGGAAACCGTCCCACAAGCCACGAAGCCTCTCCAAGCCAAACCAACTGTAATATATAGTGTATATATATATATATATTATATATATTATATATATATATATAATATATATAAGATATGACTAAGAATGCAAACTGAAAGTCGCACGTTGGACCAACTTGGTTGCTGCACTCCGGACACAGAGCTGGGGAAGTGTGCTGGAACGTGCTGCACACATTCTCTTGAAGACTGGCACAGCACCTGGAGCAGCGTTGAGCAACTCCTCATCACCCCTGGGGGTTTACCATAGACAACACTCCCTCATACTCTGGATTCATACCCACGTTGGAGAATGGAAAAGGCTGCTAGGACGGGTAGACTCTGGCATTTCCTGAGACTCATGACCCGAATTTGGTTGGCCATTTTGCAAAGAGTCAAGTCGCACCCGCCGGCCAGACCCACGAGCGGCAGCATGCAACCTCCGTTTCCAGGGGGGCCAACTTGAAAACTCGGCTGGTGACCGCGTGAAACGGCTCACATCTGAAAACTGGGAGTGGATCTGGAAATCGCCAGCTCTTCGTCGTTCATGCTTTCGTTGATGTTGGCGAAGAGAGGGGTCGAAAAGTATCGCTCGCCAGTATCCGCAAGCAGGACCAGCAACACAGACCCTTCAGGTGCCTTCTTGGCCAACTCGACAGCTGCATGCATGGAGGCCCCTCCAGATATGCCCGTGAAGATGCCCTGCGTTTTTGCAAGCATCTGCGACATGTTCACTGCGGCCGAGCCTGGCACGGCCATGTACTCGTCATACCCTGGTGAACCATCCACACCATCCTCGACAATTTTGGCAATAAAATCAGGAGTCCATCCTTGAATGGGATGAGGAGCGAAGAGTGGGTGGGAGCCTGTGGCGGAGCCATCGGCTCTCCGCTCAGTTTTCTGCCCGGAAGCCAGCAGAGGCGCCTCCGCGGGCTCTGCCAGGCAGATCTTCACCTCAGGTCGGTGTTCTCGCAAACGCCGCCCCGCCCCCACAAATGTTCCACCAGTCCCGTAACCGAGGACAAAGTAGTCCAGCTGTGCACCCTCGAAGTCACTGAGTATCTCCAGTCCGGTGGTGTTATAGTGAAACTCGTCGTTCGCTGAGCTTTCGAACTGATGGCACAAAAACCAACCGTGCTTTTTGGCCTAAGCACATCAAGCACGGCTCACCCGACTGGTCACCCCCTTACTGCTGATGCACCCTGTACTTCAATGGTCCGTATGCCTGAAGGTCATGGCTCCACCAAAAGGGGATGCCACTTCACCTCATGCTACATTGTAAGATACCATACTTTCATAGAGTATGTACATATATACATACATAAATATATATATATATATATATATATATCTGTCTGTCTATCTACCTATTTATCTGTATATACACAGATAATGATCGTATAACACCTAGCAAAACGGCCAGGCTGCGAGCTCCTGAGCTTTGACCACCATGCCGGTACCTTTGCCAGCCCGCGGCGTGACGATGACCCGAGCACCCAGATAGCGCATCAGCTTTCCTCCGGGGTTCACGCTCTCTCACAACTCGGACATGCCAGGCGAGGATCCATGATCGGAAGTCGGCGTGATGGGTTTAGGGTTTACACTCTCACAACTCGGACAAGCCGGGCGAGGATTCATAGGTGCAGAAGTCGGCGTGACACATTGATTCGGGGGATGCCTATGGTTTAGGGTTGAAAAGGAGCCTCAGGATTCTTCACCTCTAATCCGAAGCTACTGCAAAATACTTTGTAGCATCTCTTATTCACCTGCTTTGGCTGCTTAGTATGAACACACACACACACATATATATATATATATTGATATTGATATTTATGCCCTCACCGAAAACCTTCACCCAAGCCATCCAAGGATCGCCTTTCCAAGGAGAAGGACTCAGCCATCGTGATGACCTCGACTCTTGGCTGACTTCTGAACCTCTCCTAAAAGTCAAACTTTTAGCCTACTTATCATACTTTATCTAGAAGCCCAAAAAGCTAAAGTCCTAAGAGCCAACCAGAAAAACGGCAAGAACTAGGCAAGCCCGACCCAAGGTACACTTGCAGGGCTATACCGGTCACACGGCTTCGGCTTCAAAGTTTCGGCGTCGTTGCATTTTGTGCCTCCTATTATACCTATCTATCTATGTCTAAATCCATATAATCTGTAACTATGAATGCATGTATACGTATATATATATATATGTGTGTGTGTGTACTTATTTATTTGTTCACTTAGTTACACATGTATATATAAACATATGTATGTATATAGCTTGTATAACTATATACATGTATACATGCGCATATGTTGTATCTTCATATCTATGTATCAAAGTACACGTTGTTGCTTTGGGTTCAAGGCGTGTAAGGTCGTTTTGTTTCTGGGCCTGGCCTGCTCAGGACAGGGCTCGCTTGCTCTTCTCTCCGCTATTTCGTGCCGATGTGCCCATAATCTCATTAGGAGAACTGGAATATAATGTCAAAAACTGTAATTTAAATATTGCAACATTACCCACTCTATATATATATATATACAGATATACATATATAGAGAAAGTATATATTGTCATAACATATTATATAATATATAGCAATATAATATAATATCCCGTTAAAATGAGATTGTAAAAATAACGCAACAGCACAATCGAATCAGAATAGAATGTAATACTGTTGAGGGAGAGCCCTTGGAGCTGAACGAGATGGTGCAGGCGCCGCATTTGTAAAAACCTCCGTTTGCCGAGGAGGGCTCGGCTTTGTGAACCCCAGTGAAGCACTTCCTGCGATCATCACCTATCATCCTCGGTTGCCTCTTACCCCTGCAATCCAGTCCCAGATGAAGGCGCGGCACGAAGTAGCTACAAAAAAACAGTCTGAAAGCTTTCTCGAGTTAGTAAGTCACGGCGCTGGGGGCTAAATATTGGCCCACTGTAATGCACTGTACTAGGCTTTGCTTTGCGGCCTCTGACCAGTTCAGAGAGGCCATGCGGGCATGGACTCGCATAATGGCTCAACGTGGCGGAGTCTGTCGAAACAGTGTTGCGAATGCCTGAGACACCCACATGCTGGTGCCTGAGGCGAGCACGCACTTGTAGCCCCGCTGCGCGCACACCATTGCCAAGGCGATGCCTATGCAGGGTCGATTCGGTGATGCAGGGGGGCAAATAATCTCCCTCAGCACCAAGCTGCGACTAACACCACCACAACCAGAGACATTCCTCAGTCACGGCGACGAAGCTAGACAAGAATCGGCCTGTGTTTCCAGACGTTGCTTCTATCACGGTGTCTCCGGGTTTGAGGAGCCCTCTTCCTCGGCGAGGCTTGAAGCATTGAAAACATGCTGGTGTCGCTTGCTTTCTGGCTGCCACACAGCTCCCGGATGCGGTTCCGGAGAGACTGGTGGATGTAAGATTAAGATAAAGCTAGCGATACATTCGTGCCAGGATTCGCTCGGCATCCTCAATAACACCGCAAGCCAGCCGGTCCTCCGTCGCATGTTGGTGGGTGCTGAGGCACTGAGAGCATTCAGTACAAAGCTGTTTCCTTGACGCTCGAAAGCGGGTTGAAGTACTCGAGCTTGGCATAGATAGTCCTACCTGACTTCATCAGGGAATCAGAAATCGGGAGCTGGAAGTTTTGCTCGTGCTTCTGTTCTGAGGAAAGTGTACCACACAAAAATATAGGATGGCTTGTCCGTCAAGATGGACAGCCAGCGGTGTCTCAGATGTAGCATGTGGCCGGCCAGCGTGTATGTATATGCAGTGATTGTGATACCAGCAGGAAAAGCCAAGATGAGAGACACGACAACCTACAAGCAAATACCCGCCTGTAGGACAGATGGCCTTGGAGATTCGGATGCAGGGAGTGTCTCCGACGGTCTGGGTGACCTAGACGTCACACTGGAGGCTGCCAAGCCAGATGCGGACTGGTTAAAAGCAAGGAGACCATAATCTTTGTTGCATTCCCACTCCCACCTACTACCGCCACTGTATGCTCCCAGCACGACTAGCAGTGACTAGCAGTGCTACAAGATTCGCCTCTGCCAAGGAGCATTGTCGTAGAGTCGACCTCGGCCTTTGCCACGGTCGCTCGTGCCCACCAGAAGGGAAAGACCAGCTTTGGCCGGTAGACAGCTCCAGCACGACATGGCAAGCTCCCACTATATTAAACTAAACACTCGTCACAGTCTAGTGTGGTATGTTTGTTGTAAGTAGAACTAGAGTAGTTTTAAATCGCGGGACAGCTGGAGTGGGTGCTTCACTGGGTTATGGAGGCTGGATTGCCCCTGGAAGCCGCGGGTCAAGTGGCACGCGGAACCTAGTTTGAGAAGGCAGTGCCATCGTTTTGCAAATCGGGCGGTCCCGCTACACTGCCACTACGCATAGCCCTTCCTGAATCCTGGTCCCAGCACCTCGTCGTCTCGGCACCGAAGTGTGGGAAGTGCGAACTGGCATGGCCTGTACTATCGCAATCAACTAGGCAAGTCTTGGCTTTGCTAAAGAATCCGCAGGAGTTGGTGAGAACGAAGAAACGGCAGATTGACAACGGTTCACCTTCGTGTTGACAAGTGCTGCTATGCTTAGGGTGAGGAGCTTCCAGACTCTCACACAATCAGAAGGAAGAGGGTGCACCACGACTCGAGTGCGGGAACCCTGCTCGCATAAAAGTCGCCCTACAGCACGTCTGCAGCACTTCGGCTGCAAGACAAGTCGCTCAAGAAACCTTTTCAAGCCACAGGCTTACATATGCACCAGCCATAGGATCCACAAAAGAGTTGGGACCGTTCACGGTGGCCGGTTTAGTTCATGCCGTCCATTCATGTGTGCGTATGTCACATGCGTGTGTGTGCGGCATGTGTAGGTACTGGCAGGCATATGGAACGGCAGCCGCTACAAGCGTATCTCAGCCCTCATTGCCTTTCACGGGAGTGATGGGCTCGGCTGCTTCACGCCGAGGCGGCTGGCTCGGCCAACCTCCATGCGATGCCACGAAGTTCAGGATTACGATTGTTCCGTAGATTTCCGGAAGCCTGGGTGATGAACGACAAGCAGGTCGGCCAGGGCCTGTCAGAAAAGACCCGTAGCAGCGATGGCACCGACACAGTCGCAAAACGATTTGACTCGCTCTGAGAAATTCAGATCCTGCCTGCCACAGCAGTTGGCGCTGCTGCATCGGCCTGGCGATCAAAGGATTCACTGTCTCAAAACTTATGCAAACTTGCTTGCGGAGGGCGACGCTAAGGAGCGCACGTGTTTGCCTCGCTGTCGCTTCGCATCATACGAAAGGCGGATGGCACATATTCCTGGCAACAACCGAGCACAGTCCAGGTAAAATGAGTCGGCAGGCTTGTCCCTGTCCTGAGCCCGCTCGGCCTCCAGCTTTGAGATCATCACACGAAGGCGGATCTCCTGAGCAATCTCCGAAGCACCGGTACTGCCTAAGGGACTGCTGTTCTCACCTCCGGGGCACGGGCCGCCTGCAGGAAGTAGGGGTCCGAGGGTGCCAGCAAAGGCCAGGGTCCGGAGGCCCAAAACCCCAGGAACCAGGGCTGGTGGTAGCCCCGCAACCTCACAGACACTGGACAGCTGTTCGGGATCACAGAGTCTCTAACAACTTTGGAAGGTGCGCCAGGTGCGCACTTGACATGGGTGGGTAGGCTTCACTCTGGCCAAACATGCAGCCAGGTGCCTCCCAAGCACCACCGACAGCTGCTGCCGCGCCTGTGACCGTTAACTCCGACGAAACCGCAGCGATACAAACGTCATTTCTCGTTAGGATTCGATTGCCCTAGCTTTTCTTTCAGTTTGGGCCGTCTATGCTTTGCGATGTTGCAGGATTGTACCAACTGAAAGGCTTTCCATGTCAGCCGCGGCACCCAGACGAGGCCCACCACGGACTGAAAGCTGCCCCGAAGCAGCAAGCTTCCACCCTGGCAAACTATGGCACTATGGGTCTCGACAGTATCTGCGGACCATGTTTTTCTTCGTGAGTTCAGCATATCTCTGGTGCCTGCGAGGACTCTCGGCGAGATCTGTGCTGGTCAAGAGCCTGGCGCGGCAAAAGGACGGCAGCTAAGGACACTGACCGACCAGAAGAAAGCTAGCGGCCTCGGCAAAACGGTAGAACATGGCTTGAAGACCGCTGTCTGACAAGGCCCGGCGCATCCAATCCTGTGGGCCCAAGATGTCAAAGTAACCGAGCTTGGCGGGGGAAATCGAAAGCTCCTCTTCAGTGAGCCAACGGCGGTCGGCGCGTGCCTTCAGCTGCTTGGACTAAGTTTTGGCTCGTGCGAACCCGCTATGAGCATAAAGAAGGGCTCGCACCCTGGCCCCGGCTTGCCCAGCCGAGGCTGTGGCCAGGATCTCAACCACCCGCGCGGTTCCGGCCCGGCGCCGGCCTCGAGCCATCCACCGCTGTATGGCCTGCGAACTTGCAGGACAAGCTCATCTCGAAGTAGCAACCCCTCATGTGTGCCAGCTGCTTAGTTCGTGCAAGGTCTTCTTAACAAAAGAACGACCCCTTTCAACCAAAGAGCTCTGAAAGACAACCACGAGCACCCAAGTGCGACTAACAGAATTGGTGTGTCCCCTTCTCATTCTGAACAGGCGATGGAAACTGTCCAGAAAAGCCTGCCTGGCTTGCCCGAAGCTCCGATGACCGACGGTGCAAAGCCTGTCAGGAGCAAAGCGAGTTGCTGATCTGACAACCCTGGACTGGACGGATACGCACATCCGACTCCACGGTCTATAGCCCTCTTGTGCCTCTGCATGGTGTCGCCGGCGCCTGCCCTCTCCATGATGCCGGAGCCATAAGCCGAACAGGAGCCTGGCCGAGTCATAGGCTTTTTGACAAACCCTGGTACCTCCTCTGCAGTCTGCAAGCAGCGCTGGACCCGCCTCTGCTGAGCCTGCCTGCGCTGCAGAAAGGCGGAAGCCTCGGAGCAAAGCGTTTCGAGCAGTAGGCAAGGATGCTGCAGACGCCAGCAAGAGGGCTTCGAGATGGAGGTCTTAGCCTTCATGTTCTGAAGCTGAAGCACAAGTCTGGGCCATGTCGGAGGTTTATTAAGGTTGCGACAGTGCAGGAACTGGCTGCTGTTATCTTTATTCTGTCGATCGCATGCGACAAGTCCAACAACTTGCCCGTGACTGATCTGGCATCGAGCAAAACGAAGCTATCAACTACAAGTCTGGGTGTGGAGAGAACATCCCCGCTGCTCCATAGTTCAAACGTCGCAAATTCCTTTACATTGTCATACATTGTACTTCATACGGCAGGCTAACGCGCCTCCCGTCACCATGATATTTTCATCCTACAAGTACTGCAGTGTCTCACCACCCCGGGCTTGAGCTAGGGAGCCAATCAGCCGCTGCGAGGGGAGTTCATGCATACGGAAAATCAGAGTTTCAGTCCAGCTCCGTCGCATGATACGGGCAAGGTGGTCGGCAGACCTTCCCTCACTGGCCAATGCCGTGGCTGACTGGCGGCATCCTTAGGATCTGTAGGTTCGATCCCAAACTGCGTCTGTTTGGCAGATAGTTTGGGACTTCCGAGTCCAGTCTCGGTGTTCTCAGCGCGGCGGCTCGCACTACACAGCCAGAGCCATAGAAAGGGGTGAAGCTGGGAGACAGTGGTTTCAGAATTCGAGCCAGGTAGTCCTAAATATGCATCCTGCTCCACCCCTCATCAGGCCTATTGAGGAAAAGGTGTCGCGGCACCAGTAGCGGGCACACGCTGATTGGCCGAAGACTGCTTGATGCACTGGCGGCTCGGACACACGAATGGAAGCATCTCACTCCTCCATGCGCAAGCTGATATGGTGAACACTGTAGGCTCAACCAAAATCAGCAAGGAATATCTTGGCCCGAGCACGTTGCAAAATCAATTCACAAATTTTGCCACGGTCCAACTGGAATCATGTCGTCCTGGTTGGTCTTACAGGCGTATACGACCGGCAAATGCCGCTGAAATAGTACTGGCTCCCATCTCAGGAGGTCTGCATGCTGTGCGTGTTCGACACATCGCCAAACGGGATGTCTGAGTCCTGGCAACGTCAACAAATCCCTAACCAACGCATCTCTGATTCAAATCAAGGTGCCTCTAGAGGCTCGTGACTACTCCGAAACCCCAACCAAACCCCTAACCTTAAACTCAAAAGCCTCAACCCCGACCCCTTAACTCCGAGTTATTAAGCATGGGCGTTGTGAGTATGCCGGCGAGGCAGAAATTCCTGCGAAGGCTTCAGTCTGCAAGGAGCTCGGGACATCTGGCTCGGCGATCATTCTTTGCCTGCGCAGGAGCTAGGGCTTCGGGCTCATGGCTAAGGGTGTAGGAGCTTTTGGGCTTCTGGCCTCTGCCTTGAGGGTCGAGGCTTCACGCCGCAGGGCTTAGGGTTGCTTTGTTTACAGCCGTATTCATAGAGGTCTCGGGCTTGCAAACACGGATTCTGCAAATATTAGACCAATCCTTTCTGCAGCTACATATGAGCCGCGGGGTTTAGCTCGCTGCACACACTGAAACTCGTGGCCATGCGGCGTTACCTTGCCGTGTTTGCCCCTCGTTTTGCTCATCATATTGCTCGCAATAAATCTATTCGCTGCCATCATGGTCATGATTCTATTTTCCTGTACGAGAAACTGTTGGCCTGCTCTCGTCGCAAAACCACCCAGGTGGCAGCGATCATGACAACAAAAGCTGCCGAGCAGGTCCTGCAACAAGGGGCTGGCAAATTCGGTCCAAGTGTTTTTCTGGGCTTTAAGGTTTCGACTCTCTCGACTCGCAAAGCAGGCAAGGATCCGCAGGTCAGATCTGGTCAAGCCCGCAACTACGAATCAGCGTGCAAGACGCCCAGCACCCCTATGTTCGGACCCTCAATTCAGGATGCATGGAAAGGCTTCTTCCCTCGACTCGATCCCTGCACGTCCACACCTGAGCCGCTGGATCAGGAAAATGGTCCTAGAGTCCTAGGGTCCTAGAGGCTCACATACCCTGAACGGCCAAGTCACCTAGTTCTTACAGCTTGGAGCAGAGGTTTCTGCGAGAAGCTGTGGCCTTAGGAGGAAGAAAGCTTAGCGAGCTTGGCCTCTCCTCGTGTAGAGACGGTAGCACTCCACACCCTCACAAGCTTCGGGCTTCTTGAAGAGAAAACTCCAGATCGGCTCGAAGATGGCGACTGCCACGTAAAGGATCCCATAAATCACACCGAGGTGAGTCGTTCCAAATGTTAGCCTCAAGGCCGGCGGCACGATACCCAGGAGCCCACCATAACCGAAGGAAGCCAGTGAGTTTGCGATGCGCACGGTGGCTGCGTCAGGAGAGGAGGGAATGGCCAGCAAGAGCATGCCCAAGGTGTACACGATGAGGGATGCAAGGATGTAGGAATACACGCCGCCCCATCGGTGCTTCCGCGTCCAATCCAACGGAATGCAGACGGCCAGGCGTCCGAAGGCATTCACTATGCCAAAAACGCTAGCGAGCTCTTTGCTGCTCACATTCACCTCGGAAGCCAAGCTTCCTTCACAGTCGAGGAAGCTGAAACTGAAGCCAATCGCCACACAGAAAAGGACCATCATGTAGGAAAACTCCGAGCTCTTTAGAGAGCTCCAAAGGCTCCTACGATCGTCCTCGGCCTCCTCCTCTGCCGCCGACTGCTCCATAAGATTCCGGCAGAGCCAGAACACGACGCACATGAGCACGCCTACAACGTTGAAGGTGATGATGGCGTAGATCAAATACCGCATAATGGGATCGCCACCGCTCTTTTTCAGAGCGTAGTAAGCTTGTGTCTGGATGGTCATGCCAAGGGACATGCACACTTGGACGCAAGCCGATACCTGCCCAACGTATTGTACCGGGAAGACTGAGAGCGGTGCAAATGAGCCAATCACATTGAAGAAGGTGGCTGCAAATCCAAAGCATATGTAGCAAAAGGACAAGCCACCCATTGTACTGACAAAGGACGGGAAGTCAGGCGTCCAAACAAGTTGTAGGATGATCCCAAAATCAGCTATAAGAGTTCCCAGCATCATCGTTGGCACACATCCTTGGCTTCATTGCTATCCCCGCCGGTGCATGATGGTGCAAGTCTACAAACGCAAAAAAAGACAACCTGCTAATTCTTCAAAAACATCCGAACCGGTCGTAGCAAAGACCTGGTATGAAGGATAGAGCGCATGCACCAAAGTTGAGGCAGGAGTAGAGGAACTTTCCCTGCACCTGGGCGATGGGTCTAGCCATGACCCAGCATTCTCTGCAAGAGTACAGAAGGAAAACCGTGGGCCTCTGTCAACCCGTAGTAGTCATTGAAGTCACTCACTGAAACTCCGTTGGTCAAGACCAAGCCATACCTGGTACATGTGGGAAAGAAAGGATCGCCCAAAAAGCAACACAGCATGCAGGCAGTCATCCTGTGACAGGCAAGGGACTGAATGACGCCGAGGAGGCACGATACCAAAAGCAAAATCCGTCGGAATGTATACGCTGGAAGACCCAAGTAGCTGCTGAGGCTCATGTTCTGCGTGATGAATGACCTCCGTTGTTGTCAACTTCAAGGCTGACTTGACGCAAAACAAGACTTTGCAAATATCAACTTTCCAGTAGCATAACGGGCTGCATGCAAAACAGGATCTTTTTAAATTGGATTTCCCCATAGATTGATGCACTGCAAATTCTAATTCCCCCAATATGGTTAGACTAGGCTAAAACAGCTTGACGTGAGGTCAGATTCCGTGCCCTGCAGCCGAGAATCGAAAGTGACAAGCTGTCCATGGCTCCCCAGGATTTCGTCTTCCGCGAAGAACCACTAGCGACACTGATAATTAACGCCGTTCTGCTGCTGCCCCTGCTTCTTCCTACGTAGTTGTATGTTGGATTGCAACAGTGTTCATCTGGAGCGTTGCTGGTGGACCTTGTTTTGCCCCGAGCCGCTCAAATCGTCTTGAACACAAACAGCACAGGCTACAACGAATTGCTTGGAAGCCTACGACATACAAGTGGCCAATACAGTGTAGATGTATGAAACTCACCGTGCCATGCAGTACGAACAACGACAGCCCGAACTCTTCATCACGAACGCATAGCTTCAGCCAAGAGCAACAAGCCCCACACAGCCCAGCGGGTGGGCCCCATCGCGGCCACCCAGCAGTTGAGTGCCTTTCTGTAGATGTATCACGTTGATTCAAGTTGCATGACATGAATGCTAAAACCGATGCACCACCTGGAAACCAAAAAGAACCACACCCACTCAGACCGCATGCGCGTATGTACAAGTACGGGATGCATCCACACACTTGCTTTACCTTCACCCAACCCAAGCTTTTCTATCTTCACTTACGTTAGTTTGGCTCCTTGACCTTGACCTTACCTTAGCGGAAAATGGGCAGCAGACCCTGTACTTACAGTCCATTACACCACAAAGACATGTATAAGCAAACAAGGTGGCTTCCGTGGTTTATGCTTCCACTCTTTAGTCTAAATACATTTCGGCATACACAAAGTTCATAGTACACCATGCCGCCAATGAATCCTCCTCTGCATCGACACGCTTTCAATCAGCTGACAGATTGGCTGCTCATGCTACACAGTACCGATGCATTACTGTTCTCCATGCCTGGCGAAGCATCGAGATGCCGCCGCCTGCTGAAAGAGTTCATGGCTGTTGAGTTCCATTCGTGAGAACTGTGGATTACTGGTCCTGCTGTCAGTTTAGGGAGGGATCGACCGCTGCGTGCTGCCCGCAGCCTATGTCTGGAATTCATCCAATAGCAAGACCCGACAGATCTTTCGAAGGTGCAACGTGTCTGCAAGACATTGGGATGCCGAGTCCAACCGCCTGCAATGATCGCCTTTAGCCCGCGCCGAAGGTTGCACCATGCACGCCTGCGGCGCAGCTTAGATGCAAAGCCATCTGGGTGCTGTTCCCGTGATGACAAATGATAGCCAAAGCGCAGCTTGTGAAGTCCATACCGCCAAGTTCGAAGCGTCTGCTCCGAGACAAGCCTGGGCTCGCACTCTCTTATTCATTTTTCGGCTTCAGGGAAGAGGGCTGGGTCTCTCCCCGTTTGCTCTTGAATATAGGGGGTCTGAGCTCAGCTGAGTTCCATCCAGGCCACGTCTGGGAAGCCCAGATAAGGCACTTTTGCCTGCGAGCCTCTGGACGAGCAACGCAGGCGCACAGGGCGTTTTTGATCCAGAGAAATGCAGTTTAGCCAGGCCTGCGCCACCCACTCTCTGAACGCATCAGCTGCACATTTTGAAGCGGCCTGTTCAGGGGCGATCTCCATCATGAAACATGACTGCGAAGCATTACAGACGAAACAATCGACGGTCCCGGTCCACGTGCTCCACCATGCACAGACTGGATCAACAAGGCCCCAAAAATCAGCTGAGTTGCAAAGAATGCCCGACCTCAATCGATCGTGAGATGTAGCTGTCAACTACTTTCCTAGTCACGAACTATCATGGGACATTTTTGTTGGAACCGTGGGCTGGTAGCATAGGTTGGCCTCGACTGCCGCAAGAACTGGCGAATGTCAAGCATGGTGCTCGACAAGCTCGCTCATGCTGTGTTCAATAAGGTCTTGGTGCTGGACTCTACCTCTGAGCATGTCGCGCTCAGATCTCACAAAACCGCTTCGATATGACAGTCCTTCCTGATCATCTAGGTGACGGAGCCCGCTGCGACATTGAGGATTCTGGATAGGTGGTGCACCATACACTGCGCGAAATAAACTGGAACGAATGCCCTTTATACTGAAAAGGCAACCAAAGATGCGAAAAGTAACGCGTCCGAGCAAGAAATGACAAGAGCAATAAAACCAACCGGATCAAATTCGGCGACGGCTTGCGGCGACGAGGGCAATACGGAGGAGTTACAAGAAGGGCAGTTGCTGCAGCAGCGGCAACAACAACCAGCATTACCAACAACCACCACAAGCACCACCATTCAACAATATCAACTGCAGCGGCAACAAACAGACGTAGCGGTCACAAGCAAATAAAGATTCTCCTCTTCACTAACAGCCTCCCCCTTTGCCAAGCGACCATGGGCGGCCCAAGCACCGAGACGCCGCCGCCGACGCTGGGCCGCGACCTCCTTTCCCAGTGCCGATGCCCGAGCCTGGCAGGTTTCGGCAGTTCCACATCTAGTCGCATCGTGTGTAGGCATCTGCGACGCTCTGATTACGATTTAATGGATGTCTTGTGCCCTTGTCTCAAGTATCGTCGTCGTCGAGTCGCAGGAATGGTGCTGGTAGTGGTGGCGGTGGCAATGTCAGTGGCAGTGGTGGTAGTGGCAGCGGTAGTGGTAGTGGTGGTAGCAGTGGATTTAGTAGTCGTTGTCGAACGGGTGTCTTTTAGGGTTGACAGTAGTGGTAAAGTTAGTAGTAGTAATAGTAGTAGTA